TTTGTTTTTATTTTTTGTTTTTATGTATTTGGTACAGGGTCTCACTACACAGTTTGGGCTCATAGTGATCCTCTGGTTTTCACCCTCCCCAACATTGGGATTATAGGTGTATGCCACCACGCCTGGTCTTGGTGGCTGGTTCAGCATATCCTGGGGCAGGGCTGCTGTGGCATGTGGTGCTGGGACTTGAACCCTGGTCCCTCTGCTTGCCTAAACAGGCACGTAGTCCACTGAGCTATCTCACTGGCCTTAATTTTCTGTATTTGAAATTGAGTCAATACTCTAACTCACAGAGATATTGGGATGATTACACAGAATAGAGTATTCAAAAGTTGTAGCAAAATGCCTGGCATACCAGTATGTTCTTAACAAATGGAGAATCTGCTGAAGAAAGTTGGAGGACGAGGACTGTATCTTTCTTAACAAGAGACTCTAAAGAGAAATTACCCATTAAAGAGTAATCAATGAAGGGGCTGGGGAGATGGCTCAGTGGAATAAGCACTTCCCTGACAAGTGCAAGGGCCTGAGTTCAATCCCTGATTCCGAAAAAAAAAAAAATAGTAACTAATGGAAGAAAAGCTAAAGTGATGTGAAAATTCCAGCTTGTCCTAACAGAGTGTTATAATGACAAATAAGACTGTTGAGTGACCCAAAGAATCTTTTAAAAAGAAAAATCAGTTTTGCTGATATCTCTGTGCTATTATTGTGTCAAAACACTTAAGAAAAACAATCTAGGGCTGACTAAATAGCTCAGTGGATTAACGTGCCTACTAGCAGGAGCAGGGGTTTGCCACTCTGCTCCGCCCCCGCCGCCCCACCTGCAGAGCGCACTGAGATGAGGATTGAGACTGGGCGTGGTGGTGGGCGCCTGTAATCCCAGAATTTGGGTGGCTGTGAACAGGAGAATCACTACAAGTCAATCTAGTAGTAAGACTCTGACACCCTCTAGACCCTTCCCTTAAAAAAAAAAAAAAAAAGAAAAGCAATTTAAAGAAAGATTTATTTTGGTTCACAGTTTCAGGACTTTCAGCCCAAGATCTGCTGGCTTCCCTGCAGAAATGTCATGGGAAGCACATGGCACAGGAAGCTGCCTGCCTTGCGCAGCCAGGTAGCAGCAAAAGGGAAGAGCCGAGAAGAAGGGGCCAGGGACAAGACACAGTCCCCAGCATCATGCCCTCAT